TGGGACTGTGAGCAATGCGTTTTGACAGATGTTCAAATCTCGCCACCTTGTCACACAAAAGCAAAGGCAGGAGTCTATATTTGCGAGCGTGTACGAGAGGAAGAGAGGGAGTATAGTGCCCATATCATTACAGAGGCTTTTGCTGTCCAGATGCATTAATAGCTGACTCTTGCTTTTAAATCCTCTAATGTATTCTAATGTACTCTAATGTATTCTGATGCAGCACTGGGGCATGGCAGTGTTTTAATAGAGTTTTTGATATAGACAGCCTCCAGCATGCACACCCCAACACACAGTCTCAACCTTCCTGTTTCCTCTCTATTTTCCTATCGCACTCTTTCCTCTGGTCCCACGCTCTCTTTTTCCATCTATTTTCGCTAACTTTATCTCATTTAATGATAAGAGCGAGCGTCTCTGGCCCTATCTGTGACTTTTAGCTCGGTACTCAGAATAGTTGCTTTCACAGCAATCAAAGAAAACAAAGAGGAAATTTAGTGATGCAGTCATTATTTAACCATGAGCGGGCTTTTTGTGCTCCCTGGTCCCGTTTAGCACTGGTCCTCTTCGTGTAAAAATTATTAGAGTAAGCCTTATCTGGGAGGAAGAAAGAGTGAACAAGCACACAACATCATGCGCACACATTCAAGGAGGTTTCTGGTTTTGACTATGAGAAAAAAATTATTATAAAGAAATGGTGCTGCTAAATTCCAAACAGTATTTTCTATGAATATGTAGACAAAGTGTCTTAAAATGCCTGTTTGTGTATTTTGGACATTTTCTCATGACTGGTCTGGAAAAAGACATCTTATGGAAATAAAATAACCCAAAATATCAAAATTGACCTCCGTATGAAAAAAAAATGCCTTCACCTGTAGTTTCTTTTCATAATCAATACACATTCTCACCTGCTACTTTATTGGTTTTAGTAATTATCTAATCAGTCAATTACAATGCAGCAATTTAATGCATGTAAACATGGTCAAGAGAACCTGCTGAAGTTTAACCTGAGCATCGTGGTTGTTTGTACCAGACTGGCCTGATTATGTCAGAAAACAGAAAACGATCTGAAAAAGAGAAAACATTCCATGACAAAAATGCCTTGTTGTAATCAGAGGTCAGACGATTATTACAAGAGGCATCAGTAACTCAGAGAATGCAGAAGAGCATCTCTGGACAGGCTTATAGCAGCAGAAGACCACACCAGACTCCTCTCCTGTCAGCTTGGAACAGAAAATGGAGACCACCCTGCCTTTTATTAACAGTTCAGGTTGTTGTTGATGGTATAATCAATAATTTCTTGGTACACTGAGCCTCTTAGTGCCACTTGAGCATTGTTTAAATGTCACAGTATTGAGTATTGTTGCTGTCCATGTCCATCCCTTTATGACCAAACCGTATCCATCTTCAGGATGGATAGGATGGAGCAGGTCAGCCACTAATCAGAAGGTCGGTGGTTCGATCCCAGGCTGCCTCCTGGCTGCATGCCAAATATCCTTGGGCAAGATACTAACCTCATGTTTGCCTACTGGTGGTGGTCAGAGGGCTCGGTGGCACCAGTGTCCTGCAGCCTCGCCTCTGTCAGTGCGCCCCAGGGCAGCTGAGGCTACAATGTAGCTTGCCATCGCCAGTGTGTGAATGTGTGTGTGAATGTGTGTGTGAATGTGTGTGTGAATGGGTGAATGACTGAATGTAGTGTGAAGCGCTTTGGGGTCCTTAGGGACTAGAAAAGCGCTATACAAATGCAGGCCATTTACCATTCCAGCAGGATAATGTACCATGTCACAAAACTCAACATGACAATGGTCTCCAGAGTCCTCGGATCTCAATCTGATAGAGGATGTGCAGCCAACGAATCTGAAACGGGCGTGTGATGCTGTCATGTCAATATGGACCAAAATCTCAGAGGAATGTTTCCAGCACCTTTTTGAAGCTATGCCACGAATAATTAAGACGGATCTGAAGGGAAAAGGGAAGTGAAGTGGTGGTGTCAGTCGTTCATGCAATACTCTGGAACAAATCTGAGCAAACTTGACAAAATATGTCCCTCAGATCTCAGTACACAAGATGTAATGAACATCAACAAATAAAAAGAAACATTCAAACTTTTCACATAGTAATAGAAGGAGGCCTGGAGAGATGGACAGATGTTTGGTAAATATGCATGAGCGGAGAATTGCTGAATATTTTGTCAGATGGTCATCAAGAAGACTTATAAGGAGGGCAAATATGAGAGTGGCTGCATGTCTAAACTAAACTAAACAATCTTCCATTTATATAACACTACAGTGCGAGCTAACCGCAAAGAGGTGATCATTTATGCTTTATATATAACATTTTAATTTACCGATTGAATAGGAGGAACAATCTATTGATAAACCAGTTACTGGTCAAGTGTGAGCTAGTCACCACTGAGGAATATAGGAAAACGTTCACTTCTATTACAGCTGATTCTTACCTCCTTAAGAGAGAGTCAGAGAATAAAGAATCAGTCTTTGACTGCTCACAGTTTATAGACAAGCATCCTGCGATGATGGATCACAAGAAGATATTGATTCACATTACCGGCTCACAAGCAAAAAGGGTTGGGAACAACTGGATCAGCACACTAAAGGGAAATGAATCAATATTAACTGAATAGTAATTTAGGTTATTTTGGCTATTAATGGAAAAATAAAATGCTTTCACTGTTTGTCATAGTGTGAGGACTTGTGCATTTTCTCTGTGTTGTATTATTGTGATAGAAATGAATATTGCTTGTGGATTGTTCATTTAATGAGTCATTTATGGGTCCAAGAAATTATGATTTTTAAAAACATTTTTTTCATCACATTGACAAACAGCTGATGTGCTGTTTCTTTTCTGCAGAACACAATAAGAAAAAGCTGAGTTTTATGTTTGAAACAGCAAATAAGAGGTGGAGATTATAATTTTTACAAAGTTTTACACTGTTACATATTCAGAGTTGCACACTTGCAACTTGCACTCGAGCCACAAATCTGACCAAATAGGACTGGGCACATAAAGCCAGTCAACCTCACCCTGGGCCGCCACAGCTACACATCACTGTCTGCGTGCTGCTCCCCTTATAAGTCTCTTTACATTTCACATACTTGATGACCAGCCACTGACATCAGAGTTTTACTCCGTCAGAAGGACTGATATCTTTCCGCTCTTATTTCTGTGTCAGTGGACAGATGCTGAGCCTGGAGGATGGCACCTCCTCTGGGGACAGACAGGAAACAGAGGGTACCAAAAGGGAGGGACCCAGTGAGTACGAGAGCACCCTGGAGAATAAAAACAAACAGGTATGTCTTTTAGCAGGTGTATGTGGGCTCATGAGCATATTTTGGGTGCTGAGGCAGAGCTGGTTGCTCTACCTGTCTTTGCACGAGAAGGTGTGCATGTGAAGGTTGCTCACTTGACACAGAGTTGGGTGACAAAAAAATAAAAACAGATTCCCATTCAGATCTATTTCTGTCTATGTTCACATGAAAAAAGAGCACCCAGGATACCACTGCCACAGAGACAGGAGCATGAACGATGCTAAGTTGTCATGGTAACAGCTAATAACTGCTTCTGGCGGCTGGAGATGTCTTTATTCCTCATAGGAAACTGCTGAAGGGTCCGCTGTTACTGCTAGCGCTGTTGCATGGATTCACTTATATGAGCGTGTCTGTGTGTACTTTTGGTATGATCAAATCCACGCACACACAGAAACACACACAAATGAGTGGCTGTCCTCCTTTTTCCCTTCCTTTTTGTCTCTTCTCCCCCTGCCTCCCACTTCTCCTTCGATTCCCTCTCGCCGAAAATGTAAGAGGGCAAAAAATTGTGGAGGACAGTGAGATTTTAAGCTGAGCTGCTCTGCCAACAAATGGAACAGAAATAAGCTTGTGCGGGTGTTTACTTTTCTATTCATTTTCTCAACAGCACCTTTGTCACAGCCCATCCATCCTCTTTTTCATGCCCCTTCAGCCAGTATTAGCAGCTGAATGATGATAGATGATGTTTACTTTGGTTCTAATAACACAAACACCCACCAGTTTTAAAAAGAGTGGACTGATAAGTAAGACCCAAGCGGGCGCTTGCAGACTCATGGACTAGTGGAAAGTATAATCAAGGCTTAAGAAGGGTGTGAGTGGGAATTTCATGATTCAAGTCAGCTCTTTTGATCTTTTGCAGGCATTGGCGCAAAATTGTAACATGTTTGCTTACTGCTGGATGAATAAGTATCTTTCATTAGATTTTGTGTGCTTTGCAGTATTATTCCTGAAATGTCTTAAAGTCTCAGAGTCCTGTCAACAAATTTAATATACTCGCTCTCTCCCTTTTCCCAGATAGAAGAGTTGGAGCAGAAGTATGGAGGCCATCTCATAGCAAGGCGGGCAGCCCGTCGTATCCAGACAGCCTTCCGTCAGTACCAGCTCAGCAAAAACTTCCAGAAGATCCGCAACTCATTGTCAGAAAGTAAGCTTCCTCGTCGGATCTCTCTACGGCATCCCAGCCCTTCGGGCAGAAACCGGAACGCAGCTCAGAGACACAGCTACACTCTGCATCCTGGAGGAGGACAGATACCTTTACGCTCTAAAACCCCCCCTCCACCCCCTTGCCGCTCCACGTCTCTGCCCCCATCGTCTCCTGCGTCAGCCCCGGCACCTCCCCCAACTCCTGCCCCAGGCTCAGGCCCAGGACCTGGACCAGGCCCAGCACCACCCACACCTCAAACCCCAGGACCCTCACTCACACAACTGGAAGACTGCTTCTCTGAACAAGTGAGGTTTTTGTTTTTTGTTTTAATCTTGTGTTGTAGGAATGCAAAACTGTATGATTTTATGAATGTTTTATAAACTTTTTATAAACTCCAGATAGAAATATCTGGAAAACCACTGAATGAATTATAAAAATTTTTGGTACATTTTTGACATTGACCTTTCCATGACTGTGAATCCCAGTGACTTCTTTAACCCTCTAGTCAAATATTTTGACAGGTGCAGAGCATATTACTATTAAATCCGATAGATACACCATGTCCTCATCATTCAGAAGATACATTTTTAACAACGTCTTGACTTTTGTGTCATTTTCTAGTAAATGTATTGGCAGAAAATTTGGTGTAGACATTCATAATCTCCTCGGGATCTTTTATAACTTTGATCATTCTTTGATGTCCTCAGGTCAAGATGTGAATGTGTCTGATACTGAGGTTTATGATGAAACATCTGCAAAACTGATGACATTCTTATTATTCTCTGACTTACTTTGTGTTTTAATGCAAATCAGCAAATGTCTGCATGGCATTATGACTTCATTAAAGCCAAGAAGCCCTACGAGCGTGTAGTCATGTTAAATAAGATTTTACCATATTCGTGAGGCACGCTGTCAGTATCAGTCTGTCCCATCATAAATCTACTGATCTCCGTGACAATATTTTCTTACCCTGACTGAACTTATCTTTAAATTCTCTTTAAATCTTGCACTACTTATCCAAGAACAGAGCTGACCCTCAGTGTCCTTGCATATACACTTTATCTTACTTAGCTAAACTACACTGACTGGCTCTAGTGACTTGATTGAAATGAGTTTCATCTTAATGCCAGTGGCCCACTCAGTAGTCCAGCTGCTGTCATTGTTAATTTAGTTCCACTAGTCTTACTAAAAGCCACTAATGAGCAACCCTGCGACTATCATAAGCTTTTACATACATGAGTCATGGCCCTTGACCTGATTAAATCACAAGTTGTGATGTGAATTTTTATATTTTTTTGTGATCATACTTGCAGCTGCACTCCTTGGCGCAGTCAATTGATGAGGCCCTTCGTGGCTGGAGCTTGTCTGAGGGTGGAGAGGGCAAGGGACTGCTGATGGACCCCGGGGCGCTTCGTGCAGCTGCTGAGAGTGCTTGTCTGCCACGTAGTGCCAGCTCGCTGCTCATGGCGTTCAGGGATGTTACAGTTCATATTGACAGCAATAGCTCCTATACCATCTCCTCTGCCACCACCACAACCACCACCACCTCTTTGGGCAATGCAGGTGGGGGACAGCCAGGTAGCAGGAAGACTTCTGTGAGTGGAATGGCTGGGGGAGGAGACAACCAGTCAGTGGAGGAGCCAGAGTTTCCTGCACCTCCGCCTAGTGAAGAGCTGGAAATGGTTGATCTAGGATCCAGGAGGGGTTCAGCAGTGCCAACTGCAGGGGGAGGAGGAATGGAAGGGGAGAACAGCACAGACAGACTGGGATCCTCCTCCACTTCTACCTCTACTTCCACTTCCATCTCCACCTCAGCCCAGACTAACCAACAGCCTGCCCAGATTTATACCCAGTACCAGCAGTACCACTACACTCATCCCCAGCAGATCTCCGGGGGGCCGAGCCCCGAGGCCCTGCAGGCTCTGGTCGTCTCTCTGCCGAGGGACCGCTGCCAGGATCCAGCCTCTTGCCGCTCACCCACCCTGTCTACTGACACACACCGCAAACGCCTCTATCGTATAGGACTCAACCTCTTCAATGTGTGAGTAGACCACCACACACACACACACACACACCGAGCACTCTCTCAGAAAATATATAATAAATATTTCTGCACCCTCTGGCTCAGGGTTCAAAGTACTCTTACTGCTGTTTGTGTCAAACACATCTCCAACAGCCATGCAAAACCGCTTTAGGCAGCTGCTCATTAGCGTTTGTGATTGTTGGGAGGAGCTGCCTGTTCAGTGTTATCTTCTGATGATCTGATGTCCATGGCAAAAAAAAGACATCAAGAGGAAGGCAGGAATGGGAATGAGAGAAAGAGACAGATGCAAATAAATGCAGTGGAACATTAGAGGCAGTCAAGGAGGTCATGAACAATGCGAGAGCCACAGAGTTCCTATAAATAGTGTCCACGGTTGGACTGCACTTATTATTAGCTAATACAAATTAATGTAAATTAACCCATATGCATCAGTAACACTTGGTCTCTTTCTAAAGTCCACAGCTAACAGCTTTTGCGCACGGATGCGCCTCTCTTATCCCTCCTTTTCCTAGTGCCTCCTCTGACACACACACACACACACACACACACACACACACACACATACACATATTAGGCACCCTTTCTCTTAAATATAGTGTAAGAGATTTTGTTTCGCGCTCAGCTCAACACACCTCTCTGCTTGAATGCACAAAACTTCTTACACGCACCATTCCCTCTAACGCTATGTGCTTTTCTCTATTTGTTATGTGCGGACAGGAATCCAGAGAGAGGCATCCACTTCCTGATTACGCGTGGTTTCGTCCCAGACACGGCCATCGGAGTGGCTCACTTTCTGCTGCAGAGGAAGGGCCTAAGTCGGCAGATGATTGGGGAGTTTCTGGGGAACAGCAAACTGCAGTTCAACAGAGACGTCCTTGAGTGAGTTCATGTCATTTCTCTGTCATCAGTCATCATTTAGGTTTATTTGATTAGGAAAAGATATAACTGACTTTATGGTGATAATAAGGCACCCCTTTTCTTATATTCTGATCATTCAAACGTTGTACTTCCAGTTAGAAATATAGGCTTCTTACAAATTTATAGTGTCAGTGCACAAACTTGTATGAACATGATGACATTTTGGGGGTTATTTTGTCAGATTTGACAAAGGGAATCCCCATAGTAATGAACCAATGACATTTATAAAACTGGTTTAAGTGCACCTCACTTTTTGAGTTTCCGATCATAAAATATTCTCTCACTCACTTTGACACTTTTTTCTTATCTTATGTCAAGCACCTTAGATCAGTGAAACAGAAATTGCGCTGCAGTCCAGCATCTGGACTGACAGCAATAGATCTTATTAACATTTACAGCTACATTGTTTAGGAGTGGATGTGAGTTAAGAGGTACAGTGGGTCATCTACCAACTGTAGGGTCAGTAGCTCAGCTACTGCTGTCTGCCTATTGAAGTACCCTTGGGCAAGATACCGAACCCCAAGCTGCTCCTGAAGGATCCATGGGAGTATGAACATGTCCATGAATGTTAGACGAGGTGCTTAGGTATAGAAAAAAGTGCTTGTATGACTGGGTGAACGAGGCTCGTAGAGCTTTGAGTGTTTAGTACCAGTCTATTTAGCATTTACTCATTATAAAGTGAAAAAGTTTTTTTTTTTGCTATTTGCCTATTTAACTTCCTCAATTTGAGTTAATAATCTTAACACAGTATTCATTCTGAAAATTTAAACCTTATTACACGGTTCTCTTCACCAGATTTAGATCGCTTCGTTGCTGCAAAACTGTAAATGCTCACATTTTCAGTCGTTTCACTTCTCATTGAATCGGGCTTTAAGATTAGAATTCCTTCCTGACCTTGGAAAAAAACAAACTCATTCACATGTAGCTGAGGAGCTGACCCCGCTATTTGTGAGGGTGCCCCTATTTTGAGGAGACCTGAAAGAATCAGGCTGTATAGAGGCTTTTTTAGGCACTGAGTTCTTTGTAGTTTCTTTTTTTTCTGCCTCTACAAAGGTTTCAAGGACAAACTGGCTGCTTGTTGATATTGCAGAAAATCACTGTGATACCTTATTTGAGAAATGTCTGCAAATGATAACAATTTAATGATGATCAAAGCTCCTGCACATGTGTGCTTATCTCTCTTCTCCTTGCCAGTATTCTCACAGGAAAAGTCATTTCTATACATACTTTGCATCCATATGGACCTCTTTAAAGACTTTTTCTTTTTCAGGAAAACCTAATCTCACTAATATTCTCATTTAGGTCCTTTAGTAGAGTTTCAATCATACATCATAGTACAAAGTCCGATGGTACTGTTGCTTTATATGGCTAAGAAACTGAGGTAAATAAAGTAAAACATCTGTTAAATTTGGACTTTCAAACTTCAGTTATTTTAAAAGCTATCTCAAACTGAGCTGGTTTTCGAAAGCAATTACCTTATAAATGAGCGTACGCGCAAAACTCACTTGACATGTGGCACCAGTTTGCGGAAATGGAAGACATCCATGAAAACATGCTTTTTCTTAATGCTTTGACACTCACCCCTTTTTGCATCCTCCCAGTGTAGGCTGCAGACTGAGAACCAGCGTAGCGAGGTTTTCTGCTGATGTTGTTGTACAGACTGTAGAAATAGGTCACTGCACTGAACACACACTTAAGCACACACCCTCACTTTCTTTCAAAGAGACACACTTGTATGGACACAAATACACCCATGCACCTAAATGTACATGCGCAATCTTGTACGTACTACTCCCATTACCGCAGTCTGTCCTCAGCCTTTCATGTTACCTCTCTCTTTCCCATTCCCTCTTTTCTTTTCATTTTTTGCCATCTCATCCCTCTTTTCCCACTATTTTCGGACTCTTTCTTCTCCACTGATATTTGCACAGCACGTGGGTATATGTGTGTGCACGTGCAAGCATGTTGTCTCTATGTGCATCATTCAGGTCAGTGGTTCTGTAATGGAACTATGACTGTAATGACAAGATTTGCCGTCAGCACTTGGGTACAGATAGTTTGTCTCAGATCCACTCGCACACTCACTCTGTTACCTTCTCACTACAGTGAAGTACTGAAACTAAACCCAGCTTCATTTTGCCTTTTTTTCTTGTCTTTCCCCCCCCTCCCTCTCTGTCTCTTTATAGCTGTGTTGTGGACGAGATGGATTTCTCAGGCATGGAGCTTGACGAAGCCCTGAGAAAGTTCCAGGCCCATGTCCGTGTTCAGGGAGAAGCACAGAAAGTGGAGAGACTCATCGAAGCCTTTAGGTGAGACTGTCAGCTTGATCACAACCCAGCCTCACTGACTAACGGGCTCTGGCTTTGATTTTTAACAATGTGCAACACAAAAACAGTGCATCATGTGACCGAGCAGGGCTGGGTAGTGCACTCTGAAGATTTTAACAGGAATGGGCCTTTTGCTTGTGGCCACCAATACAAATCAGAAAAACAATGGCACACAACCAAGAACACACACTTTGGAATGAAATTGAAGCAAAAAGCTTTTTCTGATCTCGCAGCCTTGGGGTAGCAGAATGCATCCAAGATGGCATACTAATCAGCTCACTGTATAGACATAGAAGAATCGGCTGTTTTTGCTGGCTTACTGCGACAGGCTGTGATGACAGCAAAGCTCTGTGTCATTAATAAGTTACACTGATTTCCTGTAACCTTTGAATAAACTCAACAGTGTTTGATCATCAGCCAATCACAATAGGGATTTACACTGCAGCAAAATCAGCGTGTGTTCCATCAGGACAAGAATAGATGCTTTGTTTCGCAGCTCTCTTTTCACCAGATGACACTTCCCTGGCCAAATCATTTTCTTTTTAGGCTGCTGGTGCATGCTGGGTAGTTGCGTGTCCATCCCATTCAAAATCACACATGAATATGTAGAAGTTTGTTACTCACCAAGATCTGCCTCAGTTGGTTTTGTCCTCATTTTGTGTTGAATCCAGCCCTGAAGTCACGCTAGTGTATGCTGCTGATAAAGGTCTTGAAATGCCAAGTGGAACTTGTTAGACTTACTGCAGTTTGCAGACTCCACTTATACCTTTCCTGCAAACTGTCTAGCTTTGCTTCTAACAAATACCTGGATGGAAACAGTTTTATTTTAAAATCATGCTATTTAACCTTTAACTGAAGCAATAAACAGATAGAAGCAACCAGACAAATAAAAGCTGCAACTTTGGTCCCCTGGCTGGCCATGTCCTTGATAAGTCCTAAAGATATCCAAAGCGTCCCCTCAGGACTAAAAATGCAATAAAAATGCCCTTCATTGTTTTCTATTGCAGAGAAATTGCTTGAATTGCTCTATACATTTAATGTCCTTCCCTTGATGTACTGCTCTTTCCCTCAGGAATGCCCACACTGTCACCAGCATGACACGGCTTGAGTCAGTGGCCTCTTTGAACTCATTAACCAAGACGTCATTTTCCCTGTTCACACCATAACAAATGTTCAGCTTGTTAGTAGGCCGCCAACAAATTTCTGCATCCTCATTCTGACAAATCTTATGGCTGTTAATACAGTTTCCTCCTTCTTCTGTGACAAGGGCGGTTTGTCCCTCTGAAGACATTGAACAGCCCACAGGCCTGCTGCTTTAAGCTGAATGCTATTGTCAGCATTCAAACATGTTCACAAAACCATGGTGTTTAGCAGGTAATGATCACCATGTTTACCATATCAGTTTGCATTGCTAAACAGCACGCAAGGCAAACAGCAGATGGAAGTACAGATGGTAGGAATGTCATTAGTTTTGCAGGTATTTGAGTTAAACCAAAAATAATGGACAGATTAAAATGCTGCCTGACTGCACTACAAGTTTTGTCAGAGGCTCATCATCGACATTACAATTTAAATGTGAGGACCACACTGTTAAAAAAAACATCTTAAAAAAACGGTAATATTCCGGCAGCTGGGGCGCCAAAATACTACCGTAAAATAACAGAAAATAACTTTCTCATGAAAATACAGTTATTTTCAGTAATGAAAATAGAGTTTGTTGCGCTAATTTTACATGGGATTCTGCCTTTTCCAGTAAAATACTTTTATATTAGGATTTTTTCCTACAGTGCAGCCATACCCGCGACCTTGTGGTTGTTAGTTAACATTCATTGGCCGATGTTTAGCGTCATGTTATTATGTGTCCCAACATCCATCCTAGATGACATGAAATTTTCAGCAAAATTATAATTCAAATACTCCTTTAATTATTGATTATTCTCATTAATTTTCAATTTTTCCATAGTATTACATTTGAATTTAACAGATCATTCTCTCACATAACAGACAAATATTTGTGAAATTATGATACATTTCTGAATGTATTTTTACAATCTAAATATGCATATGTACAAAAAAATATATTTAAAAAAAACAAGTAAATTATGTTTTACTATATTTACAGTGATGTTATGTTATTTTACCTTTGACATGTAAAATCACAGTCTACTTATGTAAATTTAATGATATTCTAGAAAGACAGTACAAAACTGTAAAATATACAGTAAGACACTTTGACATTACTATTTTGTGGAGCAGCGCAGTTTCATGAAAACTGCTGATATACAATACTGCTAGCATGGCTAATGTAAGCATGCCAGAAATACAGCATGTCTTTCAGTGCAAGAACAAGTAAGTACAACTTCAATTAGTGATTTCTTTTCTTTCTTTCTTTTTAAAAAAATATATTTTCTATCTGCCTGTTGTATAACATTTGTGCTGACAGATTCATTCCTCCTGGACACGGAGGATACCATTCTGTCCCAAATCTGTAGAGAAATGTTCTGCCATTTCTCACAAGTTATTTTTTTCAGCTCTCTTTGCTGGAGGGATTTTGCTGTGCTGCTATCCTTTGCAAAATATTCCAAATGAGTTATCCTACATTCAAGTTAGGGAAATAATATCTAAATATTTATAGCCATGCATTCACTTCTTCCTTTAAAACTGATCGTTTTTTCTCTGACCTGTCCTTTCAAGACTGCGAGTCGTCTTTTCTTTCAGTCTTTGGGTATATAAAGATGCATTCATAGAGCCATCTGTAAATGTCATCTCCCCTACAAGCCTGTGCACTCATGCATTCCCATATCAGCCTACGCCTACATCCATGTTTCACTGTTGGTGCTCTTCAGCCACTGTGGTATTTCTTGCCTTATTGACGGCAAGCATGCAGGATCTATCTGTATCATCTAATCTGACAAATGCATTTATTTTGCTTTTCTTTTAACCAAAGAATGTGCTAGAATTCATTGATGTTATTTTCTCAGTTTTGCTGTTTTTGTGCCATGTTGTCGACAGTGGTTTTCTTCTTCGAAACCATTCCTGTCTTGTATGTACTGTTTGGGCATTTTTGAAGAAGAGTTTTCCATAAATAGTGTTCTGGTTCAGAGCACATACACATGATCTTGACCCCATTGAAAAGATTTTAATATTCATTTAATACAGAAGTGACTCCTGAGATTTAGAGCATCCTTTAAAGAGTGTTCTAGGCAGCATTTTTCAAAGAAAAGCTCTAACCGGATGCTCTGCTGTGAGGGGTAATATTTCTAACCTCATGTTGCACGAGACACAACCAAGGACAGAGCTGAGTCAGTTCCGGTTTTTACAGGGTAATTTGTGGGTGTGTTATTCAGTTAACCTGGAAATGAGATGAGTAATCACGTTTTTGATTTGTGTTTTTCAGTTTGTAATTTAAACGTACGCCTTCTTTTCTGTTTGTCTTTAATTATTTATACAAATTAACATCACATCAATGAAGAATATCATATTGTAAGTAGAAAAAATAGTACAGTTAACATAAGATGACTCACTGTTGAATTAATGCCCACGATTGTAAGTGAAGGAACATTTGATCCAGTGCAAAAATGTGGCTTGATCAAAGTGTCTTTAGCACATCTAGGGAAACACTGCATGTCTATGACACTGATTAAAACACTACTGTTTATGAGGGGTTTGGCTACACTGACAGCAAGCACCACTTATTTATTTATTTATTTTGGATTGAGACGTTTTTTAGATTCTAGATTTTAGATAATGTGAAAAGTACAGAATCCCCGGCCTATCCATTAAGAAAAGTGTTCTTATTCCAAACAAGAGGTGGTGAGGGAAGAGAGGAAAGGGAGCAGTCATGACACTTCCCCTCTCTGATTCTGATTTGAGGGCCAATCAGAACACCCACTACGGTCATCAGTTAATCACAGAAACACTCAATCATACATACTGAGCCTCTGGGTGCAGATTATAAAGTCATCAGTGATCTGAGACCACACTTTCTGGAGCTGGGAGTTTAGGTCAGAAATGAGCGGGCTTTATCGGGACTGCCAGACATCCACTACCATATCTGTTACGTAACACTTGTTATGTCATCTGTTTGAAGCGTGTTGTACTCTTGTCGAAAGCAGTTCTTTTATACAAAGTGGTATTTGTGCCAGCTGGCATGCAACTTTTATATGCAGATATGAAGATAAGCGATCAGAGCTAGTGTTTAAATAAACTGGTTACATAAGACGGAGATGTGTGGTTGAAAATGTGTGAATGAAACAGAAATACACGCTCATGCTTACCACTACCGATTTAGTCAACTGTTTGCTCACTCACTGAGAAAACATGCACACATATGCACTTTCACATCCATGCACATGCCCATTTGCATGCATACGCTCACAGATACAGCAGAGCTTGCCTTGAATTCAGTCTTTGATTAATTTTTTGCAGAAGTTGGCAAGTCTGCTGATACAGATTCATCTGTGAGTCTGTGGTTTTGTATCTATGTGCGGGTGCCTGTTCTATCTGCAAAGGAGTTTGAGACGAGCAGGATCTAGTCTCTCTCAAACAAAGGCAATTCTTCTGAACTGTACAGCGTGATTGATACTCACTGACTCCTCTGACTTCAGTTCTGGTTTGGAATGTGAGAAATGGCTTTCTGGTTGCACCGGTCTCAGATGTGACCTCTTGATTGCATACACTCTTCCAAGTGCATAGTCCTCTAGAGCAGAGCAGCCCCTCTCCGTGTCTGCATCGTGCCTGACTGCAAAGATAAAAGCCTCCCGCCACTGAAATGGCCCACTGTGTAAGTGTAAGTGACAGTAAGAAAGAGAGGGAAAGAGCTGTGGAAGAAGGAGGGGTGGAAGTGAGAGTTTGTGAAGGCTATGGGCACCAATGGGTCAAAGCAAGTCCAAATGCACCATCTCTGGTTCCTAAACAAAATGGGGAGAATTTTCTTAGCTGTATTGCACTGTCAAATGTCTCTGCTGTCCTGTCTTTCATATATGGTGGAGTGACGGCTTTCACATTTGAGCTAAAGTTAATTAGTGAGATTAGAAAGAGAATTATCTATCTTCAAATTACAGCAGGAATCTACTGTCTTTACAACTAGATCAGTATGCAAGCATCTCTCTTAAAGATGTCCTGATTTTTTTTATATAGCATGAACTCACCAATCAGTTGTATG